TTTCTAATTATCTTAAAAAATGGCTTTTTGTTATAGAGCAGGCCTGCACAACATACGCATTGTCGTTTTCTTTGCCCTTTTTCCCTTTGCCAATTTGGCCCGTCTACGTCAAACTATACATTGCATTTATTAATTGCCTTAATAGTCCAATTAAATAACGAAAAAAAGCCCCTTCGAGCTTACATTAATTTGTAATTGGATGAAACAAAAAGGACCTTGTGTATTTTGATGTGATCTTTCCGAAAAAAAGAAAAAAAAGATGTAGCAGTTTTTCAATTTTTTTTAAATTAGGAAAAACCGGGTTTTCCGGAATTTTCCATTGTAAAAATGCTAATTATCTGGGCAAGTATCATTCCGATAGTGAAAATAAATGCACCATTCGAAAGAGGAGGCAAAAATAGTTCGGAAATTCATTGCACAGGTAGTTTTAATGGCGAATTTCTCGCCGCCAGAAGTGCTTTTACCAAAAAGTCGTTTTTTCGTTTTTTTGATCAGAACCATGGACATGAAATTTGCGATGAATTTGTGGCGAAATTATAAATGTTAGATATATGTGCCCATGAGAGAAGTTGCGTATTTTTTTGTTGGCTCTCAAATAAAATAAGTCCCGCGGCGAAATCTGACATAATTTTTCGGGAATTCGCAGGAAACCAGAGGCGTAGTTTTTTTTTAATTTTTTTCCCATGTGATTTTTTCCGGGTTTTCCGAAAACATCTAACAAAATAAATATATTTGAAAAAACTAACTTCGCCATCGAAAAGAGCACAAAAAAATACACAAAAAGGTATACTTTAAAAATGTTAGGAAATTAATCCTAAGCCTGAGTGTGAGTTCCAACTTGGTGATAAAAGCTTGCTTCTTGTTCGCTAATATCTAGTAATTCTATATTTTGCACAAAACTCAAGAAACGTCTTATAACAAGTCAGTTAAATACAATTTAATAAATTTTAAGCCTAATAGATTTATATATGCAAGAAATTTAAAACTGGAAATCGCAAAAAAATCAAATTACAGTAATGTAGTGTATACACGAGTTTTGGATCCCGCGGAGCGCGTGTAATGGGACTTTTGTCAGGAGAATTCTACAACTTAGAAGAAACATACACACTTTAAACTTTGTATACACATTTAGAACACATGAAATTTGGGTTTGTTTAATTTTCAGACAAAAAAACTAAAAATTGTCAATTTTAGGCAACTTTTCTCAAAAACCGTGTTTTTTGGTCGTCACTCAATGAACAGTGGTCAAAAAAATATATAAAATATATTTGCAGAATTTTCGGTAATGTAATCGTATTCTAGACACAATAGAGTACTCAAAAAAAAAAGTTTTGAGCCATTGGGTGCATTTTTGGCATTTTTGTGCCACATCAAACTTTTTGAAAAAAAAATTATTTAATTGTTTGATATCTTAGCTAATTATGGTCCGATATCGGTGAAATTCACACACACATAAGATTAAAAAATTCAAATAGTTTGGCCGCAAACAATGAAATTAGGACCGCGGTGCATTTTGCCCTTCCGCCATATGCCCAATTTTGGGATTTCTCTTGCCCCCTTCTGGGAATCACTAGTCACATCCCTTAAGTTCAAAACGCATTTTTGTTTTTTCAAATATCTTAATTTTTACCAATGTTATAAAGAATTTAGTGTTTGAACATTTAACAAATTCAATTTTTCGACCTTCGTCGCCTCAAAATACTAAACAAATTTCAATCGTCCATACCGCGAGAACGGTGCATCGGATCAAAATTTCTCAAGAGACATAAAAATTAGCATTTTTCCTAAGCTTTCAAATGTCGTAAACTGCGTTTTAAAAATATTGATTTATTTTCGACATGCGCCTGCGCAAAATTGAAAAATTGACAAAATCCAAAATTTCGGCATTTTCGAAAAACTGCTACATTTTGTTTTGCCTTTTTTCGAAAAGATCACCCTAAAATAAATAGAATCCATTTTGTTTCATCTAATTACAATTTAATGTAAGCTCAAAACCCGTAATTTAATTCGATTATAATAGATATCAAATCATATGTGTGGTAAAACACAAAAAAACTTTACTGAATAAAACTTTGATGTATTTAAAATAAAACTTAATATATAATGTTTATTTTATTTAAAAAACAACTTTTGAAATTAAGCAATAAATACATTTTTTTGAGCCTCAAGATCAACGTATTTGAGTGTTGCACCTGAGAAAATTCTTCCCCCAGACAAAAAAAAATTATATCCGTGCTTGGCCCTCGTACACCTACAATTTTTTTGAATTGGCCCATTTGAAAATCATGATTAACTTCGTTTCTAAGATCTTGATAGTATTTCCAATCAACGTTGGTTTTAGAGATTTAAAATTTTTTATGTCATACTAGTTCATTATTGTGTTTTTATTGCTTAGTTACCAACTATCTAATGTCGTACTTTATGCCCATGTGGGCATAAAGTTCACTTTATGGCCCTCGCGGGCATAAAGAGAAAATAATTTTTCGTATTCCATATCGTAAGCTTCTTTAGACTTTTTTGGCAACATATTTTCAGTTGCTTTCTTTGCTTTTTTCAATAATTTCGTCAGGAATTCCAAAATCTTCGTTCATTTTGACTTCTAACTTTGACACATATAAAAATTATTGGGATTTTATGACATTTACGTTTGTCAACATTCACCTAGCAACGATAGTGTCTACTATGATAAACTGGCAATTTTATTTAATTCAAACCGGATTTTTTAAAATACTGATTTATATTGAGATTGGATTGCAATAACGAACTAGTATGACATAAAAGTTTGTATGTACCGAGGGCACAAACAGATGTGTATTCCCTCGGGCGACTTACAAACTCTCGGGCCAGAGGCTCTCGGGTTCGTAAGACGTCGCCCTCAGGGCGTAAACATCTATTTATACACTTGGTACATAAATAACTATTATGAGCATTGTCTCGTAACCTCATCATCATTTTAAGGGTATTTGTTAGCCAAGGAGCTTTCTTACGAGTGACTCTTATTGTTCTGATGGGAGCATGTAAATTAAATAAAGAAAGCATAATTTTGTTGAATAAATTGACTTTTTCATGTATGTCCTGATTTAAATGAACTGCTGAAAAATCTAAATTTAAAAGATCAAATTCAAATAGGTTACGGTTCAGTTTATTGAAATCGCGAAAAGTCATACATTCGGGAGGGATTTTAGTTTGAAATTTCGGAAAAGTGCATTTTGCAAAACAATGATCAGAAATATGATAATCAATTGCATGTATATCATTTGATTTTAGATTTTGAGAAGTCATGATAATATCAAGGCAATTTAGATTTTCTAGTGGGTTCATTCATTTATTCATTCATTCATAGACAATTCTACTACAAGATGTCAACCTTATTTTCTCGATTTACTATAAATTAAGTAATATATTTTAAATTAAATTGGAGTAAACAGGTGCTTCGCCTGTATCAAAATCGTCATCTCAATGAATGAAACTATAAAAAAATTGTCAAAAAACAACAATAGTAAATCTAAATGGTCTTAATCCAAATAAAAATATTTAAATATTATTTTATTTTGAGTTTATTTTAAATTTCCTAGTTGCAGTTTTTTATATTTCTTTTTACATTTTAAGTTCAATTTTGGTTCATCTATTCAAAAATACATTCAGGGTGATTCATAACTATTGGGCGTTAAATAATAATAATTAAACTATAATTTCACAGCAAAAATAATTCACTGTCAAGAAATGATATATGAACCAGTTACAATTATCTGACACTGCAAAGTACACTTTTCATAAATCAAATAATATTTTATTAAATCCCCATCTGAGACTTGTGATCTGTTTAATTGCGTTTTTCTCTACAACAGGTGAAATTATCGTGTTAAAAGCCAATATTACAAAGAAATGATGTTTACATCCTATTTTCTAATCGAAAACACTAAAAAGTTTCGTCAGAAAAAGCCATCACTTAATTTCATCATCAGGGGTCATTTACGTGGGTCCCCTTGTAACAAAATGTGAAATAATATTCCTTGTCCAAAAATTTGCCTCTGTGCCGATTTTGATAACAATTCATAAATATACAGTGAAATTATCAGAAAAACGAAAAAAATTCAACTTTACCGCCCTTTAGCAATATTTTATAAAGGTATATTTGGTCCTATCGCCATATTTTGGTGAAAAATAACCTGCCCTTAGCCTACCCACATAAAACACGGACGTCTTATGGACGTCTAAAAGACTTCCTTCAGGGACATGAAGGACGTCCGAGGGACGTCCTCTTTTGGTACCGAAGGACGTCCTAGTGTTCCCGCTAATCGGAAGTCCAGTGGACGTCCTATTTAGGTCCGGGACCAAACGGACCAAGAAGGGACCAAATCAGGACGTACATGGGACGTCCTGTGCTATCTGGGTATATCCTAATAGTTATGGATCACCCTGTATAATATATTTTCGTGTTTGTATACACATATGAAACATCACCAATTTTTTAGAGTGGACATATTTTTACCCACCCTTGGGAATACTTTGATCCTATATAAAATTGGTAGTTTAAGGGTTAATAAATATGCGGGTTTTATTGGAAATATCCGAAACATTTTCATATTTTATTGAATAACTAACGGCAATTTTGACATTATTACAAGCCCCCTTTGATGCATTCCGGAAAATTTAGACAAAAATATAAAACGGCCTATAGAATAATTCAAAAATCTACAAATCAACACCAAAAAATTAAAGAGCACTATATTAATATAATAGTTACCTTGGCATATAACTTAAAATCTAAGTTCAAAAGAAAATTGTAAAATGTAATTTAAGGAAGAGGGTCCAGGGGTCGTCAAAAGCTCGAGGTTGAAAAATCCTTATTTGTTACAGGAAAGTAAAAATATATAAAATAAAAGAGCAACAAAACAAATTATAAATGTAATTTCATTTCATTAACCATTTAAATAAATAATATTTCAATAAATACCGTTTTTTTTTTTTTTAATAAAAAATTTATCTGGGTAACAAACCTTTTATTTGCAACAGACTTCCAATAATTTTCGCACTTTTAAATTTTGTCACTAATGTAATCACGATCACCCGGTATACACGTTCTGTTATCGCGTCGAACTGACCACTCGTTTCGCTCGCAATAACTCTTCGAAGTGGGTAGCACTCGCGAGGGAACCAATCTCTTCGGTACCACTACTTTGTCAGCTGGTGAACGTTTGCGTCTGGGTTCTCTGCGGCACGCAAAAGGATTTGGTTGTACTCACGACACCGTTTTCCAAATGCTGACTCAAAGTCTGACCAGTTCACTAGGTCGATGTTGTTTTTGTTGATTATTGGCTTTATATACCGTGTGATCTAAAATTTTGACACCATTCGTTATGGATTATGTTCTAATTCTTAATTTAGGTATGGTTCTAGGAAGAACTACTAGACTGAGAGCCAAGCAGTGTCAATCCAAGAAACGTGTTGAAGACAATGCTGAATATTTCTAGATTTATAATTTAACATCAATTGAATAATCAAATAATGTTCCGGCAGGCAGGGGTTGTTTCTCCATTGGTTCATTTGTGTAGTGAACACCCAGTTAAATTTCATAAAAACACGTTATTTTAAAATTACAAAAATACCATAAACGTATAAATTCAATGTTAATATTGTTATTATTTTCATACGTGTTAATCTCTATTTTTGATACGCCAATGCACTCTGGCTCGTCGCGACTCTGTCGGTGCACTGCTGATTGAGCACCAAAGATTTCCGCAAATGCCTGTCGTTAAAAAGAGAGGCAACAGATCCGTGAAACAAACAATATGACTGCTTAAAATCACGCTATTTTGTGCTTGGTACATAAAGAAGACGTGACGTCATAAAGTAGGGTGGGTAATACGAACCTTTTTAATAATTAAGATAGAATAAAGAAAAGATGATGCGTTTCCTAATATTCATCGATGCCATCAAGCGTTCATCAAAATTGTTCTTTTATCCATCCAAAATTTTGTTGATGAGTCATCCATCAAATTCTTAAATTCAACCTAATACTCAGATGGTTGTCACCAACTCCATCGACTCAATTATGTTGATGCACTGATGGATCACGTGACATAACCTTAAATTATTGATTATTATTAAACAGATAAGGAAATAGGAAAAGTTCACTCAAAATTCCTAATAATATGAATAAAGAAACTCACTGGGTTTTATTAAACCAACTTCTAAGTGGGTTAACTTTTAAAATAAGATTGTCAGCGTTAGATATACAGCAAGCAAATGAAGGCAAGTACATATTTTTTCAATGAGAGTATTGGCCATACTTGTCTTTAGTTTTTATGCCTATCAAAAAGTGTTAAAATTATTTGTTTTCATTAAATAAAGACAGTTTGACAGTTAAGATTACAAAATCAACAAATGTCAGTCGTTCTTAAATAATTTTCATCAGATAAAAATCAGGATTGCAGCAGTCGGCCATTTATTGGTCACGTGATTCATCATCAGTACATCATTTTGTTGAATAATAGAAAACACCCATGCTATGACGATACTAAAAGTGTGCGCACGCACTTTTGCAGTGCACTTTTACGTCATATGTCAAACTCGAGCTAGTGGACTAATCAGTTTAGGTGAGCATAAATATCATTTTTTTAAATAGCGTGATTTAAATGATATAAAAACATTTTTATTCCTCTTATCTTCATACAATGTGTTTACTTAAGTTGGAACCATACGAAAAAAAATGTTTACGACTGTGTTTTGTTTTTTGTTCCAGTGTCTTAGACTACTTCAGAATAATCATGTGTTTTGTACCCAACCGTAAGTACTATGGTGAGCAAAAAATTTCTTATATTTTTGTTGTTTCCTACAAAAGATTTAAACGAAATTTCAAAAACAAAAACTGCGTAAATGGATACAATATCATCAGAAGAGATAAAATTTAATTATAATCAAGTGTATCGGGTACACTGTAGCAACTTTATTAGGTTTTAAAACGGTACTCTTTTATAGGAAAACCATCCAATTTAAGCCATGACTGGGTTTCATTAAGAAATGGGCTCTTATAGCAATGATATAAAGTACCTACCTAACTTTAAACAGATCTTATATTGCAGTTGTCAGCCAAGAAAGATCATTGTACTAGAAGATATTTCAGAAATATAACAATTTAATTATATGTTTTATTTGGACAAGGATAATATCTTCGCCGTAATACAATTTTATGTGATTAATTGTTTTATTTTGATAAATTTGAAGTTATAGAAATATGCCCTATTTATAAATGCTAGAGGTACTGATAAACAGAATCAGACATGTAGCTGTGAGGATTTTACTCATATGATGGTACAGTAAACGCCAAATCTAAAGAACCAAGGACGCGCATTTATAGTGCTACGAACACGCCTACCGATGAATAGAATTGGTAGCTTACCTAGAAAGTTGTAAACCAGGCGCGCGTATATTTTAAGACATAAAATAAATGGAAAATAGTGAATGATACTTGTTCATACATATTGCTTAGTGTTATTATTAGTACATAATTCTATAGTCAATTAAAAAATCATTATTTTTAAGTAAGCCGACTTTAGGTTAAGGCTGTTCTACCGCTTTCCGTTCGGTATTTATATAAAATTCTGTTACGGTCAGGAAATTATCCTTATTCAAATAAATTAAATTGTGGTAAAATTGTATATTGGTCAAACGGGCCGTACTTTCAAAAAAAAAAGCTATTTAAAACATTACAATAGTTATACTAAAAATAAAAATAATTCTACAAAACATATTTTTATCTAAAAATCAATCGTTTATGCAAAAATTGTTTCACATTTTGAGAATAAAGGCATTAAATTAAACTATTTAGAAACACTTGAAATAAATAGATTTAAAAATTCAAATATCCTCTTAAGTGATCAATTAGATATTAATAACTGAGCTAAATTAAATCTCTTTACCTGTTCTTAGTTTTCTCTGAGATAAACCCGGTAATATCTTATTGGAATTTTATTAATATATTTCTCTTAAGTACCTACTTTAACTAATTAGTTTATTTTGTATATATATTAGAAATGTGAGTCACATTTGAAGAAGAAGTTGTACTTAGAAACAATTGTGCAATTTTTAATTTTTATTTCTTTAAATAAAAGTGTGAAAATCTACCATCAGATTCTTCGTTGGAAGAAGACTCGTCACTGTCATCACTTGAATCCTCATTAGGATTAATGACGATAGGATTAATTTTTGAACATAAATCAGTTTGAATTTCTCTTTCAAAATATTTATCTTCTACCTTTATAACATGATCGCATCTCTTTTTCCATTCCTCCATACCGATTTTGTTAAATTCTTCTTCTGCTAATTGTTTTACGTCTTTTAATTTAAAGGTAACATTCCTTTGACTGACATTATTCTTAACAGTTACCCAAATCAATTCGGTAGGGTTCAAGTCGGGGTGATATGGGGGTAACCGTAAAGCGGTGTGGCCGTATTCTCGATACAACTCAAATTTTAAAAATTTAACTATAAAATATTAATCAAAAATAAAATGCATAGATATGTGTGTAAAATACAAAAAAATATGGGAAACTAGGCAAGTTTAATTGCAAATAAACTACAGAGTATGTTTACCTGTTGCTTGTGCAGTTTGAAGTTTGATATCATCTAAAGTAACTCCTTCCTTTTTTGTTGCGTCAAAATATTTAAAAACATTCTATATTACTTTACGACTTTGTCCGTTAGTAACAGATCTGCGCTTTTTTTCACCCACATTATCAAAAATAAAACCAGTCACTTTAATCAAAACACAGAAACAAGAAACAAACAATGATCTAGTTGTTACGCTTCTGACCGTAAGCAAGGACAAGGTTCAAATTGTGAATGGGCGTGGCGATTTTTAAGTAAACGAACTTGAGTATTTGCGCTGGTTCTTTAGATTTGGCGTTTACAATACCACTTGTATTATCTACAAAAAAAATTAAAGCTAAACATACAGTAAAGTTTTTTTAAGACGATATAAAAAATAAATATTTTACTAGCCTGAATTAATTCAAGAAACTAAATAGTTGTGTCTATTTTAGATATGTACCTAAATCATGAAGACTAAATTAAATATTTACCGATATCAGTACCTGGGGGATAAACTGAACTATGTCGACAGTGCAGTTTTATAAAAGTTATATTTTTAAAATCAACTTATCAAAATCTTTCCAGGGGTATACTATACCATGTATAGTGATGTCACAATAAAAGTTGACTAAAAAAATATAACACTATATTCCATAAACTTACGAGGTAAACACGTTGGAGGTATATGACACTATGTCATAGAAAATTTGTTATCAGAACAGAAATATGTTACAAAAACCAACATTTCACGTATATTAAAAAAAAAATTAGTTAAATTATTTGTAATAAATACATATTGGGGCTAACTGCATTTCTTGTCGAAATACAATTAATATATCTAAATATGGAACACAAAAAGTGTTCAAACAACATTCAGTCTGCTCTACTCAAAAGTTGACTAGAATGACATAGTGCAGTTTACCTCCGAGGTACTGATATTAAATGAATTTCAATACATTGACTTTATTATTCTTTTATTGTATCTATTTTTTTATTTATTTTATTTAAAACATTTATTCGCCTTCTTAAAATATAGTATTTACAACGTCAATATAAAATACAGTCACACAATGTACACAGTACAATTGTGCGGCTCTTGCAGTCGCTTACTAGAGATATCCCAATAAACACAGTTAATCGGTACCGTAACTGAGCCGAATGAGGCTTGCCGAATGTCGTACTCGGCCCGATATACGGGTGCAACTTCGGCATATAATAGGTAGGGTATGTCCGCCCAGCCGAATGTCGGCAGCCCATTACATTGTAGCCGCGTTCATATATCTATATTTAGTTCGGCCCATAAGGATGCCTCGCATGCTCGGCTAGCCAAATATTCACCGCGTTCGGCTCGTAAGGATGCCTCCCATGTCTGCAAAACCAAATATGGACCACATGCGGTTTCTGCTTCTAAATTACGTCAAATGGTACGCTACTCCCGGCTCAGAAGAAACCCCGACAACGGCAATCCGAGTACTCGACTTTCCGTACATGCCGGTGTCAGGCCGAGAGAATGCCAACTATTTGTTGTTTACTGGGATGGCGATTTCCTCGCCTATAATATATCGCGTGATTTACATATTATGGGGATTATGATTGACAACCTGTGTTATTTTTTACCGGTCTGTTATTTTATAAACACACAGAAATAACAACCTGTTCACAAATAACATGTCTGTTAAAAATAACATTATTTGTCGATCCATAGAAAAATAAAAAGAGAAGGTTTGAATAAATGGCGGGACTTGTTTCCTTGTTGGTAGTTGAACCGTAAGCGCTTAGCGCGCTGCTATCACTTAATTCAAATCCGTTTTACACCCATAAAAAATATGTTTTCAAAAATAATGACAAAGAAATCAATAATTTTACTGATTTACCCCTTTAAATTTTACTTTAATATAATTTGTGATCAAATACCGGGACAATCGTTAATAAATTTAAAGTTAAAGCTAAATTTAAACATTATGAGATGGTGTAAATCTGGCTCTGAAAATAAATTAGGTTATGGTGCGATAAATATTTTCAAATGCAGGAGTGCGTTTAGAAACCACGCACGGCGCGTCTGGACCCTATTCTAATGTATGTGGTGAGACGCGCCGTGCGGGGTTTCTAAACGCACTCCTGGTGATATTTGTTTTCAAATGTAGGTGAGTAAATTGTATTAACTTAGTGTAAGTTAGATTTAACTAATTTAAATATAGGGAGGTTCTTAAGAATGTCATTATCTTCTGATACATTTAAATTTTAATTGCAGAAGTAAATATTTTTCTCACAAGACTAACCAGAAATTTTATATTTTCCCTGCTATTATTACTCTTAGAGATAAATGGATCCACATTTTAAACATTTGTGGCGAAAAAAATGAAAGGAGTTGTACGCGAAATGTGTGAAGGTGAAGCCAATTTACAAACAGATATTGTAGAACCCGAGATAGAACCTCACCATAGTTTTACTCAAAAAGACCATGATGAAAAAAGGCTAATGATTTGTGCTCAAAAAGTTATTGTTCAATTTTTGGGTGATATTCATTATTATATTTATCAAGTAATACCCAAATATGTTCAAAAACTAATATGATATTTAGGTCAACCTACTAATTTTTACAAAGTTCACCTATTAAGATCATAAATCAGATATTTTCTATTTTTATTGAAATTTTTATACCTTTTATTGCAAGAAAAATGTAATAATTTAAAAAAGTTATGACTCCTGTTAATTTTTAATTTTAAGATACACACACTACCTTTATTTTTGTTTTGTTTTAGATATTCCTGAATATGGAGATTTTTGGAATGTGCATAAATGTCTTTCTTAATTAGGATGAGTTTCAAAGCCCACCTGTATCGAAGCTGATGGCTTATTGTATCCGAAATAGGCATTACAACTAGTCTAGATTGAAATAAATGGAAAAAGGCCATAAAGAGGCAATAAGTATAAGAATATTAGAATTAGAATGATTTGTCCTTGGATTAATAAGGGATATTTAAAACATTAAAACAATTGTGTTAATAAATTAACTACTTTGACTTTTTATAAAAACTATATCCGGTTTTTTTGATAACAAAAACATTGTCATATGCTATGCTGGTTATCATATTATATTTTTATTTTTCAGTAATTTAGTGTGTGATATAGTGCTTGTTATGTTCAGAATATGCAGTTAGAAGATAATGAGACACATGTAATTACATGGTAATTCTAAATAAATTAAACTTGTTAAAAATGTGTTTTATTTTTCAACTAATTTTATTTTTCATTTAAAACAAGTGACATTTTCCATTTTTCAACATTTACCTACAACAAAAATTCACTAAACTTATTCTTTGTTTAGTAGTTGTAAGTAAAAGTTGTCAAATAGGAAAATGTTACTTGAAATTGCTTCAAATATCTAAATTATCAAGCCCGCCAATTTTTAAATCGCTTTACTTAGTAGTGTTCTACTTTATCGACTGAAACTGACAGGTGTAGTTCAACCGTAAGCGCTTAGCGCGCTACTGTCGAGGTCAAGCAAACTTGTTACCAACTATTTACATGGAACTCGACCCCCGTGTGTCGATCATAACTCCGTTAGACTTTGCTAGATATAGCCGCTCTCATTCCTTGCCCTGAGGGCATACTTAAGGGATTTAGGTTGTTTTTAGTCGGTAATTGTAAGTAAAAGTAGATTTGTCTTGTCTTAATTTGGTTTTGTCCCCTGAAAAAGCTAGTAAAAAACATCTATTTTTTTAGTCTATTGTTAGGAATTATGATATTATTTTAGCCTTGATTATATTATTGTTACGCAGCACCCTGGAGTAGCCTGCGGCTGTTATAGGAAACGTACGAATACAAAAAGAAGTGCAATGTTACTCATCGCTCTACAGTGTGCTGCGGTCGTCATAAGTAAAAGTACTAGCAAAAGTAGATAGAATAGTCCAGAAATGTCTGGAAATGTCATTCCACGTCAAGGAAATGTCTAGACAGTTCGAGAATGTTCGAGAAGGTTAAAGCAAGCTATATAAGCAGGGATGCTGACGTCAGTTTTTCAGTTTTGTAATAGACGTTATACGGTAATGTTATCAGTTGAATAGTTGTAAAAGTTGAGTTGAAATAAATTGAGATACCAAAACCTGCGTAACATTATTATTATATTCTTCACACAGTAGTCTGTGAAGAGTAATATGCTTACTTTGTCCGTTTAACCGATGTCATATTATTTGTCCGCACAATATCAGTCAGAAACGGAAAGTGATATCAACTTGGAAATTTTAAGAAAAATCTGTTTCTGAAAGGGGACAAAGCCTATTGATTTTAACAAAAATCTGATTAAAAATAGAGGATTAAGATGGGAATATGAAATTTTTAGTAAAATCAAGCTCTATAAGGTGATGAAGCCTATTGATTCTAAAAAAAAATTATTAAAAGTGGGGTGTTAAGGAGGATTGAAATATTTAAAAAATTGTTTTAGAAGGGCCTGTGGCCCCGCTAGTAGTTTTTCCATCCCTTGCCATTTAAGCATGGCAAAGGAAGAGGACAGAAGTTGAAGGAGTGGGGCTAGAAGTATTTTTTTCCGTTTTTTACGACCCTCTATCCGTCCATATAATATTGGTTCACAAGCAGAAGAGAAAATGGTACTGAACTATTTCGTCTTTGCCTATTTAGGTATATATAGATAACTACAAAGTTTTAGCCTTGTGTTCAATACGTTACTCGAATTGACTGCTAGGCTCTTATACTATATCTACCTTTATACTCATCTTTACTTTCCAGTAATCTTTTCTGACAATACCACGGCCGTCACTAAGTAACTAGCCAGGAACAACAACGTGACAACGTTGCATTGACCTGTACCACTAATTTTTCAAATTAAAAATGGTTTTATTTCGCATTAAAAACTCCAATTTACTGTATAATATTTACTTGCACGTGGATGAAAGTTATAAAATGATCTTTTAGTTTTTTCATCTGCATCTGGCATATTTTGGTCAAAGCGTTGCCATTTTTTGATGCTCTATGTTAGTTACTTAGAGATTGTTATGGTAGTACGTAGTACTCATGGAATCATAATTTTTTTTCGACCTTGAATTTTCGGCGTTATATGTTATGAGGTAATCTGTTATTTATGACTGGAAAAAATTTTCTTTGAAAAAGAGTTACTTTGGCTGTTATTTTCTATAATTTTTATCGGATACATGATTTTTATTAAATGGACTGTATTAGAGGAATTTGAGGAAAAGTGCACAATTCGAGTTAGAAAACCTCGTTATTTTCGTCAGCAACGAAGATAATATGAAAAAACGATCTGTTTCATCATTTTTACTGAATACTTTATACCAGTGGCGGCTTGTGGCCAAAATTTTAGGGGTTCACAGTGACAGAATACAGATATCAGTACAGATATATGAAAAAAAACTTTCGGTGTTTTAGAAAGTTTACAATATACCTTTCTAAATCACTGACAGTTTTTTACCTATATCTGTACCGACATCTATAATATTGTGCTACTGTGAATCCCAAAAATTTTGGTCACGAGCCGCCCCTGCCGTATACTAAGACTGTATATCGCGTAGTTGAAGTTGAGTCAAATAAATGTCAAATTAGTCTGTCATTCATTGAAATTCCATCAAAATGTTCAAAATTAACTGTGAAGAAAAATAATAATAAAACCTAAAATAAAAAAAAAATCATTAATATTACCACTGCAAAAATCACTAATTAAGTAACAATTATAATAAAATATAATAAAATCAAAAACAAAGTATCTATTTCTAGGTAAGTAACTCTAATTTTAACTCTAATCAGTGTTATATTGAACCTGATTGAAATCGATCAGCTTCCTCAAAGAGTTTTGATATTGGTAATAGATAAATTAGACATGTTTTAGGATCAAAATGTCTTCCACAATCCTCCATACACTTGGTACATGCTTCACTACGAAAGATGAATTCATCAAATTTGTAAGTTGGCTTCTCATGGATGTTTAGTACTTCTCCTATGACGTAATTGGTTATTAATCTTTTCATTTTATTTTTTTCTTTCCAAAGCCAGTATTCCTAATTTGTAGTTTGTTAATTCATGGTTGTACGAATTAGTTCTTGTATTTCTCTTTTTATATATACTTATTTTAGAAACATTTCAACCAGTCGGAAACCAGTGGTTTGCTGCCTTCTTCTTCTGACCTTTTTTGAGTTTCTTTTAAATAGTTGTTGGCCATTGTTCTTTTAATTCTTATCGCGTTGTTCCAAGCTGCCGGTTGGATATGGACCACAAATGTTCCTATTTATTTGGAACGAAATGGTAAGTTTTATTTAATCATATGGGTAATTCTCTTTGTGGTTTTTTTCTGATTAAATGTCTACCTATCTACCTATCTTAAAATAGTAGAAGATGAGTTGTACAGTATATTTTTTCTACGACACACTAAATAAAAATGCAAAATTTTTTAAAATGAATTCAGATATAGGTAAACAATTAAAAATATCACGGCTTTTATAGGCTTTTATACCCGAAAATTTCCAACAGGCACTCAGCACTGAAACTGTTACACTAACATCTTTGTACGGCTTAATATTTATAACTGAATTTGTTTTAGATAGTTTTATTACAGTTTACTTAGATTTATGGTTTCTATATAAATATAAACGAATGTATTGGAATTATTTATTGATTCTTCACAATTATATGTGAGTGTAGAATAAAAAATAATTGTAGGAGGAGTTAAATAGACTTAATAAAGCTATAAAAAATAGATTTGCTGACCTTTTTTGTAGGTCTTAACTGATTCTACTGAGCCAAATTCCGAGGTTAATCTATTAAATAAATCAAATTTAAACATAAATTTCTTTACCGAAGATGAAGTTAGAAATATGTTAAAGTCAATGAAATCTAAAATGACTATGGGGCCAGATAATATTCCATCCTTTGTTTTGAAAGACTGCGCTGCAATTCTCACTCATCCCTTATAAGTTATCTTAAGTGTTTGTCGCAAATTTTGTTTTATCCCATCTATCTGGAAATGATCTAAGGTCTGCCCGGTATTTAAAAAGGGTGATAAATCAGACATTACAAAATATCGTCCAATTTCAATTATTAGTAATTTCTGTAAAGTGTTGAGATGTTACTTCAAAATAAGATTTATCATCACGTCAGTAATATGATATCAACAGAACAACATGGATTCATGAAAGGCCGTTCCACCGTTACCAATATTATAGCTGTAACACAGTACAGTGCAGAAAATATCGACAAGAGAATCTAGACGGATGTAATATACACCGAGTTTTCCAAAGCGTTCGATTGGCTTGATCATGGTATCATGTTAAATAAACTTTCATTCTGTGGTTTTTCCCAATCACTGTTAAATTTATTTAAGTCTTACTTTTCCGACAGAAAGCAATATGTTCAGATTAACGGTTTCAAGTCGGCTCAATATCTGGCAACTTCCGGTGTTCCGCAAGGTTCTAATTTAGGTCCTTTGTTATTTAACATATTTATAAATGACATAAGCATTATTTTAGATATAGATATAAACTTTCTTCTATACGCCGATGATTTAAAGATGTTCTTTCGTGTCGAAACGGTTGAGGACTGTGAAAGGCTTTCAGATAATCTGCGACATGTTGAGGAGTGGTGTCTCAATAACAACCTTCCTCTTAACTCCTCTAAGTGGTTTGTAATGTCTTATATCTTGAATCAATTCCCTTTAACTTTTAACTGTAGCGTTAACAACACGATTCTTCAAAGACCGGTTACCATCACAGATCTTGGAATTACATATTGATAGAATTGAAGCAGTCCAACGGAGATTATTAAAACTTTTAAGTCTTAAACAAGATGGAGTTTATCCCCCTATAGGTACACCTCATCTTGATCTGCTACTTAGACATAAGTTTTGGAGTCTTGATACAAGACGCAAATATTATTCTGTGGTATTGCTATTTTAGACAGTTCATTTTAAAGTTGATTTTTCATAGTCTTAATTTTGCAGTTCCTCGAATCATCCAGGAACACCCGTACATTTTACTTGAATACACCCAGAACAGATGTTCTCTTAAAATCTCCTATATACACCATGTGTAATAATAATTATGAATTAGTAAGTTCCCAGCTTGATTTGTTGTATAGTTCAATTCATAATATTAGGTGTTATTTCTGTAATAATGTTGTCTGAAATCTTTAGTTTTGCATAAATTCATGAAATGCTAGAAAAATAATTCTCTTAGCTTTTTTTTCTCACCTGCTGTTCAATCAATTAGTATATTATTTCTAAATTAATTGTATTTATATATTCTTGTACTCTTACTCTGTAACTGGGTCTTGACTTGTTGAGTAATGTAATAATAATAAATAAAATAAACTTCGAAAAGCAGTTTTCACCAAATTAAAATCATTTTTTTTATTATTTATAGAAATCTAAATGGGTGACGTAAAATCAGAATGTGATTGTGAAGATGAGAAGGAACAATGGGGAGATCCAGAGCCAGCGGAAAATTCTCGTCTAGCAAGAATCGATTTGAGACCGCATCATAACACCCCGTATGCACTTTATTGCGATTGGTTGAAAGATGCTAACAACCACGGTCTGACAAAATTTCAGACTAGTCAATTTTCTTTGGCAACGTGTTCAAGGTAAATGGATTTATACCTACATAATATGAGTTCGACGTAGCAATTTAAAAAGTTTAAAGTTTCGATAAGGGATATGGGTTAGGTACTACATTACTATATTATCTCACTTTTAATTCAAAACGGATATTGTATCGACTAAAATTTATTGAGTTATTTCGTATGCATATTAGATAAGGCATGCGCGTAAAGAACTGCTGGACTGTGATGTAAAACAGTAAGAACAAAACGTCGTTCCCTTATTTTATGAACGAGGTCCGTATTTGGGAAATAACTAAAAATTCGTACGATTTCGGAAATATCGAAATCTTCTATACATTTTCACGATTTCAGCAAAGTATAAAGGATGTTTTTTTAAGGATGATAGAACTTTACATGACAAGTACTTTCAGACTGACGCTGTTTATAAAATTTATTTTCAGTGATGATGTAATTATGGTTCCACTGACAATTAAAGTGACAGAAGATTTTTTGAGTGCGTTTTGTTCGTTTTGTTTACCTAAATTATATCGTTCTTTCACTTAATATAAATATATTCCTAAAGTAAGTAGATAGCATGCATTAAATATACAATCACTTAGTTACCAATTACATACCTTTAAACTATATTTTATGACTTGTTAACAATATTTAGAAATAAACTAAACACAGTAAAAACGTATATGTCAAATTTATTGATGTTTTTATTAAAAGTTTGGTTAAAATTAAATGTCAGTGGAACCAAAATGACTTCACACTGAACTAGCGCATAGCTGCCAGTGGGAAGGGCTCGTAAATCTAAGGGGGTTGCAACATAGCCTTCTATCTTGGATGCTATTTTTATTTGAAATAGTAGTCGCCAAGACTGCCAATTTATAGAAAATGTATAAGCTTTTTTTTAAATAATATTTTTATGTGTTCCACATAAAATATTTAAATTTACTCCATTATTTATGATTTTACATATTGTAGATAGACTACATCGTATGTCGCAATCCTTTAGACATACCCAACCTTAGCACCGCGTTTCATTTGTTTGGATTGCCTAATACCTACTTTGGCAAATCATCATGACTAGATGTACGCTTGAAAAAAGCTACCAAATTCTTTAAATTTACTTTGAATGTCAGTCATCAGTTCGCTAAACGCATAGAAGACGAATTAAATTCGAGAAATTGACCTGTTAACTATCCACCCAGGTCCTGTGATGTGACGCCCCTAGATTATTTTCTGTGGTGCTATGTCAAGTCAATAGTTTATGTTGATAAACAAGCAACTACTGACGCCTTAGAAGCCAAAATATTCTTCGTGTTATTTATGACATACGGCCAGGAGGGCACTCATTTCTCTAAAGATTCTCATCAGAAATGTCATACGTTAATGTGGAAACGCTGTTTTTAAAGGCCTTGAGGATTAAAATTCTTAGGAGAATTTTAATTCTCTTTAAACAGTCAGTGAGTTCACACAGGCCCTAAGAACTCTAAAAATACTGTTTTACGTTGACGTATGATATTTTTCTTGAGAAAAATGAATTCTCTAGAGTTTGAAAATAGCCATAGCCCCCTGAAGTGCTCGAAAAAGTCACCCAAAATTGGACCAAAAGAATACGATATCTTGCGGACAGCTGCAGTGGCCACATGCCGCAAATAATTTTTAAATGTTAATGTAATAGATTGTTTTTTAAAATAATATTACTTTTTGAATCAGAAAATATTTTTTTAAATTGTAAAGTTCTATCATCCTTAAAAAACACCGTTTATAACTAAAAAAAATTAAAATCATCGAAAACTACTTAATGGTTCTCTATGAAGACTAGAGAGAAGGAAACGAATCGGCAATGGTCAAATTTTAAATTTCCGTCCTTTTTTTTATGAAGTACGCGAAATTGACTGTAGTTGGCATGTCAAATGACAGCGGTGTCAATTTTCTATGTAAATCAATGTAAAATGAAGTAATTTTTTAAAAAATTGGTGAAAAGAATCAAAATAATGTGAAAAAATATACCCGAGTACAAGTAACATGAGTGACGAAAAACAAGCAAGATTTACGTCGTTCCAGATTGTAAAACAGGATTAATATCAAATGTAAAACTAAAGAAAACACAAGAAGAAATTAATTCATTGTTTTTTTAAAGCTTCTAATGTAAGTAAAATAATGTATTCATGTCTAAATATAATATTTATTGTAAACTATCCACAATATGTATCTTACGAAGTGTAGTTTATTTTATTACAAGTTTCTATATAATATAAAATCTTACAGTCATAGATACTGACTTACAAACAACAATAATTATGCATTAAATTTAACTCACTACAAAAAAAATATATTTTTTATAAAGTTTTAATGTTAGATAAAGAGTTCCTACTGTTATTTTTTTTTTTTTTTTTTTTTTGATACCATTTGTGCCATTGTAAATGTTTTTTATAGAATACTAAACGTTTAGAACACATTTATATCGTTCCTAGTGCCGATAAAGCACTTTCTAGAGATGATGCTGTTCTATACTTTTTAGAAGATATTATCAAATATTATGAGAATATTTTTACTGATGGTAGGTACTGTTAGCAAAATAAAAAGGGGAAAGCTGAAATTAAAGGATGAGGTAATACCATGTACATTCCGAAATCTCCCTTTATACTTGTATTACAACAATAAAAAATCTGTTAACTGTGTTTTATTTTACTCTGAAAACTATATATTGGTTCAATTAAAAAAAATTGCCACAAAATTGTACTCAAATTTCAGTATTTAAAAAATCTTTTCGAATTTGGTCATACATACCTAATTTCTATTTTATATAGATAAAATTAAATAATTTATCAATTAAAACATGCAAGGCTTATTTAGAAGTAAATACAACAGTATGTTCTGTAGTTTATTTAGCTATAAACAGGTTTATAATTATTAATTTGACAAAATTATGTATAATTCCTATAAGAAGCCATGTATTTTGAACACCGTATGCAGTACCAGCGCCCATGCCGTTAATTATAGAAGCTTAATTAACTTCATTTTTGGGACCGTATTTTGAGTATGCCGATTCGCCTCCTTATCTCTAGTCTTCATACGGTTCTCTAATAACAAAGCAAGGACGATGTCAGTGCAAGGTTATTGTAGTATTGACGTAGATTGTACTTTGTACCTACAGTATTTTCTGTATATTTTTATTGCCATTATATTGTAAGGGATTAAAAGTATTTTTTTTTATTTTAATGTAATGCCAATTTTAGTCCCTGAAAATAGGGACTAAAAGCGTAAAAGACATTTTACAGGTTTAGTAACATCCGTAAAGTATAACTTTTGACCCTTCTTCCATTTAAGATTTTAGGGGTAAGTTTCACCCCCGCTAGAGAGTTTCCGTTCAGGGGATGAAACTAGCCAAAAAATGTTTCCCCTAAAATCAAAAATTGACGTGTCCGAGCGTTTTTTTCGAAAATGTCCAAGGGAACTCAAAATTGGCCGGGCACCAAAAGCAATTTTTGAGTTCCGGCGATTATACCGCTTTTCATAATCACATCAAGTTTATCTTACTTATCGTTAGTAACTTTATAAAAATTTCCATTTTTGCAACCATACAATGTACCTAATCCTATTGAATTTTTGTCCTCAAACAAAAAAGACAAGCTATTGCGCCAGTACTAAAACACTGATTTCACGCACTTTTTAACAACTTTCAAAAAAAGTACTGTTTGCGCAAACGTCAGTGTGGCAAAAAACAAAAAAAAATAAAACCAAAAAACAACAAAAAAAAAACAAAATAAAAAACAAAAAACAACGAGAAAAAAACGAAAACAAAAAAGAAATTCCGATACCGGGAATCGAACCCGAGCCTCCTGGGTGAAAGCCAGGTATCCTAGCCACTAGACCATATCGGATGTTACAAATTTGTCTCTTATTCCTATATTTAAACTGATTAATTTTTAGATGTGGTGAATTAGGCAATCGAATGATTTCACTGAGAGAATTCAGAAACTACATGTATATAATAACAATAAGCTCATTTAGTAAAACATATCAACACATCGTAAGTAAAAATATATGTTTACAATACCTATTTATAAGAGAATTTAAAATATGTATATACCCATTAACTGAAACGATTATATATATTTCAGAAAGAAACTCGAAAAGCAACCATGTTGTTCTTTTTCCAATACTGGAATTATCGAGGTACCTACATAAGACAGGTAATAAAAATAAAATAGATTTATTTTTGAATTTGAATTACTCATGAAATGGAATATGTGGATCCATCTGTTCGCTGAAGGTTAAAACTAATATTGACACTTAACAGTTTTCTTTACAGACGAGCCTTACGCCCTCTAGTAGAATGTTTAATAACTTAATAAAACTATAAAATGTTAACACGTTCACTACCAGATATTTTTTGTTCATAGACCAAGTAAAGATTTAAATAATAATTATGTGCCAGGTCAGCAAAGTGATTTCTTTATCGAACCAGTCTGAGATTATGAGCCGAGCGAGAGAAGCGAGCGAGGCGAGTAATAGGCGTATTCGATATAGATACTTTGCTGACAAGGTCCATACAACTTTTATAGCCAACCGTAAATAATTATAATTAATAAAAAAGGAGATATTATACCTAATATCACATTTTAGAATGACAAAGTAAACAAACAGAAAAATAACAGCGACTACAAAACAAATCAGTTACATACTATTTGTCAGACGGCCATGGCTATACTGATAAATATTAGCGGTAGATAATAGTATATTACACACCGAGGTGGGAAGAGTTTCATTCCTGTCGTGAGATTAGTTAGATCACCGAGACGCGAAGCGTCGAGGTTAGCTATGATCTCGAGACAGGAATAAAACTTCCTACCGAGGTTTGTATACTATTTTATTTACAACCATCATATTTCGATCAAAGTTAATAAATCTCTGTTTCGTTCTGAACATACCTAAAATATTACATTTAACGACAAATTACCAAGCGCGCGGTTTTCTCAGAATAATCAAGTAAATATATTGTTACTGTGATTACGGGGTAAACAACTGTCACCAATATAAATGTCAGATAAAGCCGGATATTAAATTCGCGAATAATAAATATCAATAAGTAGTTTGTTGTATTTTAGTTCATTGTTGTTTTTTTTATTGTTTGCCATTAAATAGGTATTATAAAATTTGTCAAACGTAGGGGTCTATTCTGTAACAATTCCTTTATATTTAACGGCCTTTAAAAATATTGGCGGCCTTTAAAAATATATTCGTATTCGTTAATTTACTTCTGTCATTATTTAAACAGATTTCTTTAAGATAGTCCTCTAATGTATTTTAAAGATCCGTTTAAATAATGACAGAAGTAAAGAAGAAAATATTTTTAAAGGCCGTTAAATATAAAGGAATTGTTACAGAATAGACCCCAAAATGTGTTACTTTTTTTAAATATAAAAAATATTCATCTAGAATAGATGAAATGAGGGCGGGAAGTGAGGACGGGAAGTGAGGGCGGAAAGTGAGGGCGGGAAGTAAGGGCGTGTCATGTGACACTTCCCAATGACGTTAGTAATGACATTACATATATGGTTGTAAATAAAATATTTGATTTTACAGTGAAACAAAGTGTTTGTGTATGGTAATGTAATGTATGGCTCTATTGACGGTTGGCGATAAAATAATTTAACCACCCAATTTATATAAATTGTGATTTAACTGATTTATGTTATGTTACTGTTGTTTTATCGATCATAGGAAATATTGCCTTTCCACCTCTACACTGATTAGAAATGTAGTCGTTGGTTTTCGGTGAAGATAGAGGTTGATGTATGTGAACAATATAATTGAAAGTTTCGAAAGTGCAAGGTCATAATCTTTTTGGCTATCTTACTATATAGTAACAGTTAGTTTTAAATGTATATAACTAATAGGAAATATTGAATTCCTTTATGCATAACAAATATTGAAAATATCTCAAACTAATTTCATTCCACCAAGAAAGTCATTTAACAGAAAATTATATTTGGTTAGAAGCAACAACATCCCATGACTGCTTGTGAAATACTCCTGACAATAAAAATATTTAAGTTTTATATTTCTAGACATTTCAATACTTTCCTTACGGCAGTTAAGGGTAATAGTGACACATTATTATCAAACTCTTATTTAAAATAAATACTATATTAATGAAGAAATAAGCTCCTTACAACGAATATTTATTTCACTCTGCTTATTCACACTATTTCTAAAATAAATATATTATTATTACTACCAAAGCACAAAAATAGAGACAAAATTAGAAAATTACAGAAAACATACAACGCAATCAAATTGTTATTATTAACATCACCTAAATTAGTGAAATTTTTTAAATTATTCTTGTCAACATCGGTAGACCAATTATCATAATGACATTTCATCTCTATAAATACGAGTTACAAATATATTATTATTAAGACGAAATAACTAATTTTAAAGTTCTTTATGACTAATACTAATTTATAAAATAAAATAAACTTGAAAAAAAAGATTTAATTTTATTAGTCCCCAGCCGAGATTCAAACTCGGGCCTCACGCGCGTGGTGATTTTTTTAAAATGTAACAATAGTTTTTCTCTTCAAATAAACAGTTGATTGTTGTTAGAAATTATATAAAACATGTTGTTTTTTGTATGTATGTTGTTATAACCATAAAATATCAAAAAAAGCAATACATTTCTTTTTCTATATCTAAAATGAGCAAGTGCTCCTCTTTTTCGTGCCGGTGAATGTATATAATAATATTTTTATAAATTTTATATTATCAAGAAAAAGACGTAATACAATTGAAATTTTATTGTTCTAATGAGTGTCTCAGAAATATTTTCAAATATTAATCCGTTCGCTGGCGCAATAGGCACATTCCCGAGGAGAAGGCAGTTTGCAAACGGTGGTCGACACGTGCTTTTTGTATTCGTGTTTTATAAAAGCAATGATTCTTATATTCTTGTACGTCGTTTGTACAGAAATCATTATAACATAGCAAGAATGAAAGATATCCCAATACAAATTTAATTTCCAGTACTCTCAAACTTTCTTAACCAATATTTAATTAAATTTGTAGTTGGGACATTCTTGTCATAAGAATTTATGTACAAATGAGGCACAAGAATATAAGAATCATTTTTATAAAGCGCACGAATACAAAAAGCACATTATTGTCCCGTAAATCGCTCCATTGTAATTAAAACCACAGTTTATATTGTATAAGCTGTGCTAAAACACTCTGGGCCTGTTCGGGTTCTTCAAAAATGCATTGAGAACTATCAAAGGACTAGTTGACCAGTGGACAGTTTAATAGTTGTATGCGACGAATAATTTGGAATTAAACTGTTCCACTGGTTCTTGGACGGTTTGCATCGAATTTTAAAGAAACCCGAATAAACCTTGTATATCACCATTTTCCAACTGCCTCCTTTATCAGGAATGTGCCTATTGCGCCAGCGGACGTATTGATAAACGACAATAATTCTGAGATACCCTTTATTACCAAAATAATCACTATTACGTTTTCTGGTTTTTTAGCAATGTAAATATTCGTGATATGTTTCAGATTATTAGATTAGTTAGGGAAATTTTAATGACTAAGTTTCTCTTCAACCCTTGTTGGATAGTGTGACAAAGCAAAATTTTCGTGCCTTGATGATCAAATATTGGTTTTTATAGATAAAAATTGACTGCAGATGCAAAAGATTATGCAGCGGTATAACAGAACTTTATCACGACAAGGAACCATTGTCAGGTAAAGTTAAGTATGAGATATGTTCTTCTGGCCAATTAGCGGATTGGGAAGCGCTAAAGAAAGTACACGACAGAACTGTAGTAAAATATAGATGTGGACAAAATGAATTGAAAATGCCAAACCATTAGTAAGTGATTTATTTCATTAATCATCAACCTATTTCTAACAACGACTTTTAATCATCGATTTTGGTGAACACGCTACACTTATACAATATCTACTTTCCTAACCCACTGATGTTTCATCTATGGACTCGAGACCGGCGGCTCTACATTTCTTGTAAAAGAAGAAACACCTCACCTTTCCTCTTATTGATATAGCGCCTGTAAGCTGTAATATGCAACTAAGTCGGTAGTTGGCGTTTCCTTAAGTGGTTATCCATCCAAGAATGAACCGCGGTCGATACTGCTACACTGGAGATATAGGGGTCTATTCTGTAACAATTCCTTTATATTTAAAGGCCTTTAAAAATATTTTCTTCTTTACTTCTGTTATTATTTAAACGGATCTTTAAAATACATTAGAGGACTATATTAAAGAAATCTGTTTAAATAATGACAGAAGTAAATTAACGAATACGAACATATTTTTATAGGCCGCCAATATTTTTAAAGGCCGTTAAATATAAAGGAATTGTTACAGAATAGACCCCATTCACACCAAAGTGTACCTGCTAAGTCAAGCCGATACCTCGATTTCTTTATACTATATACTATTTTATGAATATTTATTTTATGGTTTATGTACAATTTATCTATAGTTAAAGTCCAAGGTTGTATTAAAGACTAAAATACTTTATGATATAAAATTTGTTATTTTCAGTGTTGGATACGCACTCATCCCGCACAAATACGAATTTTTGCATATGGAAGAAGGTTACATTCCAGACAGAGTAACGTATCAAAAAAGTTGCGATTGTGGTTGGTCAATTCGAAGAATCATGGCTTAGAATTTTTGGTATGTTTCATATTTTTGACAAGTTCATATGAAATTCTAGACAATAGATAACATGTTTTACCATTAAAGAAAATAAATTAAAAAAAAAACAGTAATGTTTGTTTTTCTAGTGTCGTTGGAAATTATTATATTACTACAGCCCATTGATTATAGGTAGTACCAGACGTCGAGAAAAGTCAGGAAATGTCCGGAATGCCCTAGTAATTATAAATTGGCCGGAATTTTCAGGAAAATCAACAAATTTATTAAAATCTCGTATAAATAGATCTGGTTAAAATTAACGGTTTTTTTTTTAATAAAACGTTTAGTAATTATTTCATAGTTGGAGTGTTATTGTTTAGTCCCATTTATTAAAGAAATGTCCAGAATTTTCATTAAGAATGTTAAGAATTTATATAGGTCACCTATACATGAAATGACTATTTAGAAATTCGAGCCCGCCATGCCTGATTCGGTAAGTACCAACAGTTGCTGAATATGATGCATGATGAATTTTTTGAGTCCCTAATATAAATTTTCTTTAGGTATAGATCATAGACGTAGGGTGCTATGATTGACCGTTTACGTTATCCGTAACGTACATGTTAGACCGAGTTTTAACAGTAACGAGGCAAGTTTGTGTGATGGAAAACTGTTAAATTAGAACATAATAAGCTGAAAATAACAGTAATGTGTTGGAAAAAGTTTTCCATCATACGAACTTGCTTCGTTAATGTTAAAACTCGGCCTAACATGTACGTTACGTTTTAAAAAAAAATGTTATCTTGATATAAATCTAATTTAATGCCATTTCAGTTTCTATTCCTCGTGTTAAATGTTGTTTGTTGATATTTGTTTAATAAATTATAATAATATGTATATGTAAATTATTATTAACCTCTTGTTTTCACCATTTTTTGTTTTTTGTTCAATTTTCACTTTCTTTATTAAATAATGTTACTTTACAATGCAATGAATCAATAACTATCCATTTAAGTGTGGCCTGAAGATGAAGTAACTGTTTCAAAACCGGTCGCCAACTAAATGACTTTGTCAGATATAAGGACCTTTTATGTTCTAAATTCGTACTCAATCCTTACTACTCGCATATGGCTACACTCACCCTTAACCCTCCGTTAATAAAATTAGCTGTCAAATGAGGTGTCACACTTTACAATACGAAAATTTGTTTCAAGCTAGAGGGCGCTAAAATTAAAAATAACGCAATGAATAGTTTTATTAAATAAAAGGAAATAAAGTGAGAAAAATCGGTTGAGATCCTAAAAACTAAAATGTAATTTTAAAAATAATAATATGAAAATGAATAATCCCTAATTTCCCAAAATTATTAAAAATACACCCCCCCCATATCCCCAAAGTGAAAACAAACCATAAAAAAATTGAAAAAGTTAAGAATTAAAAATCTGATGTGTCCAACACATGACTTTCCTATCTAGTTATTATAGGCTTTTTCCGGTTATTTTGTACAACCTATTGCAGCACCTCTATAAATGTTTAGAGGATAAACTAAATATATACATTTTCCACATACATCTACCTCAAAACATTTTTCTATAGATATTCATTGAAAACGAAAATACTGAAAAATTTAAATTTAGCACTTTTCTTACAATTTTTCCATTACGGTCAATTTTAGAAAGATCATGAATAAACAAAAATTATAGAGATCGATATCGCAAACAACTTTTAGTTCAACAATTTTCATAAAAATCAGAATTTTGCACATTTTGTCAAATTTCTCGAATACGGTCCATTTTAGAGAAATTATGTATAGAATAAAAATTATAGAAAATTATACTACAGAGAACTTTTATTTAAACAATTTTTATAAAAAAAAAATTTTTATTTTGTCAAATTTCTCGAATACGGACCATTTTAGGAAAATTTTGCATAGAACAAAAATTATAGATAATAATATTAAAAGTAACTTTTATTTGAAGAATTTTCTTCTCCAAATGTAAATAACATATTCTATAAAATATAAAAATGACCACCTATAAAGTACCCCCCAGATGTTCCGACTCAGCCCAAAAACTAAATGCCCAAAATCAGTTCATTGGACGATGGAATAAAGCTTAAGTTTAAAATTTGGTGTTTTTCTGTGTATCGGTTCATGAGTTATGGTGGATACACACACACACACACACACGCACGCACGCACGCCCGCACGCACGCACGCACGCACACACACACACACACATACACACATCATCGCGAAAATAGTCAAAACGGATTCAGGGGACCTCAAAACGTAAAAATCCGTCGAAAACTCGAGGTAGAAAAAAAATCATTATTCCTATACTTTCCTTATATCTGTATACAGATAAGAAAGTAAAAATTAGTGCACCGATCAGAAATCGAACCTGAAAACTTCGGACTGTAGCCGTTCACACTCTTACCAGTTGAACTATCGAGGCACATGGCTTTCGACATCAGAACTCGTAGATTTGAAGATTCTGACTTCCAATATGGTATCAATTAGATTATTTTAGATGGTTTAAGCTGGATTATGCTGTCCTAAAGAAAACTGAGTTACATTACTTGAAGACAAAATCAAAAGACAGGCACAAATAATATTTGTATAGGTACTTTGGTAATAAAAACATACGCGCTTCTAAATACTTATTTCCTTTGCTTATTAACTTCTTTAAAATCAAATCTCTTAATTTTGTTATAACCATAACCCTTAGCATTGAGTAAAAGAATCCCTATAGTCATTGTCAACAGTGAATGGCACTACAGTCTACAAAGTAAACAGGTAGGTAGTTGGTAAAAGCCTTTGAAAAAGGTAAGAAAATAAAACTGGTTTCTCGAACAACGGAGTACCCAGACATAATAAGACCCTTGTAAATCCTGGATATCATAAATCTGAGATTATGCTATACAGATTGTCTCAGGTCAAGAAATATTAGGTAACATAGGAATAAATTTTTTCATATGAATGATAGGTAAAATTTATTCGTTTGTGATATTTGGCTGATTTTGATATTGACTGTATGATTGATTTTTTGACATTTGTTGTAATAAATTTTATTATTTATTTGGAAAGTTACAGGTTCGTTAACAGCAAAATTATATTATGTGCAAAAAAATGATACGAGGCAAAGGTTATAATTGAATAAGTTCTAGATACACCACTGGAAATTCTAGCCGATTAATTTGCCATGCTCTTATGTTTGTAACACGATATATATGTATGCTTTATTATATCTATGTCAATTTATTATTTAACGCCGATAGTCCAATAATAACATAGGTCATAATTATAAATTGTGCGGTAAATGGTGCTATACGGAATGTCTTAATACAATGACTATTTTGTATTTGGACAGATTAGTAATAATGAGTTTATAAATAATGTTCGTTGAGTTAGGTACACTGGCTGTAGCATGAACAATGGAAATACTAGAGAAATACGTGTAAGATCAAGTTAACAGGATATATTACAAAAAAGTAACACGAAATCCCAGTTTAACCAACAATCAGTTTTGATACTTTCTGGGCGAGATAAAGACAGACATCTTTTACTGTGCTGATAGACGTTTTGTGATAAATCTATCAACTGTCTTAAAATTGGTTAAAAACTCGCTACCAACCCACATAACATCAATGTTCTATGAATATACTATGCACCGTACACGTTTAATCCAGAACAAGGGTTTAATCGCGTTTAGTACCACAGCTAAAAATGGTACTAAACGCGATTAAACCCTTGGTCTGGATTAAACGTGTATGGTGCATACGGGCGTAAGAACGCTCTGTTAATGTTCTTAGAACATACTTAGTATATACTTTGAAAGTATATTCTAAAAAGTATATACTGAGTACGTGCTGTGTATGTTCTAAAAAAGTATATACTGAGTACGTACCTTAAAAGTATATTCCAAAAAGTATATACTGGGCACGTGCTATAACAGGACATACTTAGAAGATACTAAAAGTCATATACCGAGCATGTACCTCATATTCTGAGAATGTTCTAAATGCTTGCGGGTAAAAATTAACACCAAATACAGGTAAAAACACGTTAATATACATACTTATATGAATTTTTCCCAGATGCCGATCTGATAATTTGCTAGCAAACGCACTATTGTTGAGTGTTCAGGTCAAAAAAGATTTACAACCTTAATAGAAGAGAAGAAGAATAACATGACCTACAATTCCTACAAATTTTTTTGATCTCGTTTCAGTTTGTAATAGGTAAATAAATTAATAAAAATTAATTGCATCGTGTGTTCTATATAAAAATAAACAAATTTTACTTTATTTGTAGTTTTTAGGACCTATAAGTGATGTTAGAACACAGGATATCCCAAATATTAATTGCCAGTGTGAATTTATTAATATGGTTAATACTAATGGCAAATTGAAACTAAAATACATTATTACCAGAATTACATACACACCTTCTATGAAAAAAATCCTGTAAGGCCAGAAACTGACCTGGAAGAACTAGAAAATTAACTAAAGGCGGACGAAAACTACAAAATGGTGGTAAGTAATTAACAAAAATATATTTAAACTTTTACTAAACATAATAATCATTTATATAACTCTTGTTTTTGTTAGTGGAATGCCATGTTCCTTTTCTGTTGTATTACTTTGGTTCAAAAGTTATACCTCAAGGTATTTTTTCCTCTTTTTAACATATTTGTTTTTTCTCCAGGCCGAAACGAGGCCCTTTTAAATTGAAATTGTATTATTGACTTCTCTGAAGTTTTGCTAGGTGTGATATATTTTTTTTTTGTGTGTCATCGGCTTCAACTACCAGGGTTATTTCGCCTCGTGTTCTGTGTAGGCTTTGTTATTGTTTCCCAGCGCCACTTTAGGAACAGCACTGTTAATAAGAACCCAACAGTGAATGGTCGAGTGGGGAATCCTACCAAGGCATCAGAATTAATTTTAAATAATTAAATTATATGAAAAAATCCCGGCCAACGGTGGGATTCGAACCTGGGACCCTTGGATCCACAGGCAGAGACTCTACCACTGAGCCACCCACCCCTTAGGTGTGATATTGATGTAAATACTAGGAGGAGTTTGTATTTTATTCTTTGGAACTTCTTTTTGTGGTGTCGAATGAGCTACAATGTCAGTCATTATATTGACAGATGCTTCGTAAGTTATAGAGTTAGAATTTACAGGATGTTGCTTTTCTAAAGTTACTAATATTAGCCATTAATATTGGCATTAATATTTCACTGTCATCTCATTTTCTTTCATATTCTTCCTCGTCGCTATTACCTTGAGTTGTAGATTAACACTTCAATATATTTTTTGCCAAAATACAAATTATGCTTTATACTCTATGTGTCCTGTCCATGTTTTATATTTGTGTTTTTTAATTCATCCAATAACATGTCCATTCCAGTAACAATCAATCAATTACCAGCTCCGGATAATCTATTACAAACGTTATTTTGTAATTGTAAAAAGGAATGTGGAGCTGCTTGGTGATATCGGAAAAGTGGCTTATGCTGTAGTTACCATGGTTACAATGTAGCGAAAATAGTTGTTTCAATACTCCACCACAATTACTCAAATAAATGAAGTCGAAAAAATATTTAATATGTATGTAAATTGTTTAAATAAAAAAACATTTGATTTTCTTTTTTTATTTAATTTTCCTTCATTTACTTCTTTTTCCCGATTACTATTTGAATTATTGCAATTATAATTTATTATAATTTTTTTTTAATCAAGATGACAATTTTTATATTGATAAATTTTTTTTAAATATATTAGCAGCAAAATATTCCATTTTGAATTTTAAGATTGAATGCAGATCATATTTGAGGTTTTCATGTTTTTTAACGCCCCCGGCGCTTCACTAAAAGTGGTATTAGAAATGGCCCTTTTTAGAAGATTTAGATGATAATGATATTAAATAATTAATATTCGAGAAACGATACGAATGTTGGCAGGAGCACCCGAAAGCTAACAAAGGCACTATCTTTAATAAAGTCAGTTCTAGAACCTAAACTATCTGCACGTGCTCAGATGTCAAAATAAGATCGGCACTAATAGTAGCCGACCTTAAATGAACGATCTCTCTATTGCAAGTTCACTTCATATATTTGCTCAGCCATATGTATGGAGTGTAGATTTAAGGGTATATGCTTGAAGGACATAGCCTAAAAAATAAGGCTGTCAATTCCTGACGTGATAAACGGTTAACCGGTTCAACTGATTTCGACCGGTTTCGGTTATAACCGGATTTTTACTATTATAACCGGTCGGGATATCTGGTTAACCGGTTAGATTATCCGGTTAACCGATCCGATAATCCGGTTAACCGGTCCGATGAAACCGAGCCAGTCGAAACGGACCAGTTAAACCCGTCACTGGTTTATCCGTTATTGATTTTACTGTAATCATCACCGGCTTAATCGTTGCAAAACACATCCATCAAATCCTTTGTTTTCAATACAGATGGGGTCACTTTACTAACCATTTCAGCTTTCCTTACCCGTGACAACCAGGCAGTGCATGCTTGAGTTTTGTAAAATAGGCGCTCACTAAATAAAAATTAAATTATAATAATAGAAATACTACCAATTTTACTTTTGCAAAACTTTATTCAAAATTTAAGAAAGGACCCACTGGGTGGGTAAGTAAGTAAAACTAAAAAACAAAAACAAACTATATTTAAGTAAAAAAAACATTCAAAAATAAATTATAATTAATACCTAATAACAAAACTGCCTATTTTTTTAGTGAGTTTTTATGCAAAAAAATCAACTTATCAACGTTAGCAAGTAGTTTTTCGCCAAAACTATATTTCCTGTACTGGAAAACACCCGTTCACTGTAAGTTGATGTGGCTAGTACACATAAATACGGTTATAAACCGATTACGGTTAAACCGGTTAGGGTTAAACTGGTTAGGGTTAAACCGGTTATGGTTAAACCGGTGAAAAAATACCGGTGTTACTTCCGAATATTTCTTTGGTAAAAATTTTCTGTAGCATATGTCGCTGGTGTTAGAAGAATTGGGTTCTTTTGTAGAAATAACTAACGAGTCATAGGTAGTAGAAAAAGAAGTTTTTTTAATTCACTATTTTCACTGAAGTAAATACATAGTGGTTGATTCCATTTAGATATAATAATTTTCTTATCTTCACTAAACACTTTTAAATATTTACAATTTTAGTTCATCACAATTTGATTAACTAATATAGTTGATTTTTTAGTTACCAACTTGAAAACATTTGTTTGTAGAATTTCTTATGCCATAACAATTGTAGAAGAAATAACTTTCACCAGAAAATAAAATGCATTAAACGCTTGTAAAAATGTAGAAAGTAACGTGCCGTCGGCAGAAAGCACCTGGCAAAGACAACTGTGAGCTATGATGGCAAAAAGACAACTGAACTCGATGGCAATAAGACAACTACTGAATGATGGCAAACATACGACTGAACTGCTCGCGTCGGGCTCACCATAATATATACTGTTGGGACTAAATGAGTGTCCGGGGCATAGTTCACGCACCTATTCGGTTTCAACCAATGAAAACATCATGACATAATGAAATACGTCATTTGTGCTTCGTTCACTATGCGCCGGACACTCATTTTGTTCCAATGCACCGCTGTGCACTTGAAAACACAGGTGTTCGACGTTCGGTATTCTGAGAAAAATGCTATTTATAGTTTTATGACTTCACATTATATTAGGGTAAAAAGCAGTCGAACTATTTGAGAATTGTTTATTTATTTAGTAGATGTAAAATATTAATTTGTTGATGTTTTTACTGGTGAAATTGTAGAATGTAACCAACCGGTTACCTTCTTTAATGGTTTTTTGGTCCTACGGAACCGGTAATCCGGTTAATCGGTCACGGTTACCAGCCTTACTAAAAACTACATCATGAAAAGCAACTGGGATTATAATCGTAAAGAAATTTTGATAACAGACGACAATAGTGCTCTTCGTCGCCTGATTTACATATGGAGAGCTATTACTATATATCATTGGATCTTTCCCTTTTAGTACCATGAACTGGTGTGGGGTAGAATGCTTGTCAATAGGCTTGAGATGCGACTCTATGGACGAAGACAGGTTATTTTTCATCTCACTCGGGAGTATTTATAACAACCATTTTCTATTTCACTTTGTTATTGTCTGATCCACCAGCCTGTGGATTGAACAATAACAATGTGAAACAGAAAATGGTTATTATAAATACTCCCGAGTGAGATGAGAAATAAAAATGGCTGCGCCCATAGAGTCGCATCTTGTTCAATTGATAAAATATGCGCATTAGCTTTCTACCCCACTCCAGTTCATTGTTTAGTACACCAGCGCCATCTTAATTTCTTACATTTTGGGAGACATTTTTTGAGATAAACAACAATGGGAGATTGCTCTTTCCTCTGTACTCCATAATTTTGAGGAATTCTTATATTGTATACAGAGAAAGTTCTCCTTACCTCTACACTCCATAGCATTACAAAGCTTAGTTAAAGTCAGTCGCCGCCTCTACATTACCAAATGTGTGATTACACCATGGCGACTGTTCATTTTGCTTTCAGACATTGTACATTGTACTATTGAATGTTCGTGTTACATTGCATTACATTTTATTGCAAGTCAGCCATAGCATTACATTACAAAGTTTAGTTAAAGTCAGCAGCTACCTTTACATTACAAAAGTTGTGATTACACCATGGCGACTGTTCATTTCGCTTTCAGGCATTGTACTATTGAATGCTCGTGTTACATTGCATTACATTTTATTGCAAGTCAGCCATAGCATTACATTACAAAGTTTAGTTAAAGTCAGCAGCTGCCTTTACATTACAAAAGTTGTGATTACACCATGGCGACTGTTCATTTCGCTTTCAGGCATTGTACTATTGAATGCTCGTGTTACATTGTATTACAAGTCAGCCATAGCATTACATTACAAAGTTTAGTTAAAGTCAGCAGCCGCCTTTACATTACAAAATTTGTGATTATATCACGACGACTGTTTATTTCGCTTTCAGGCATTGTACTATTGAATGCTCGTGTTACATTGCATTACAACATTTTATTACAAGTCAGTCGCCGCCTTTGGATTATTGTATATTATTTGAACAAATGTTTTATTACTTTTTATGCTTACATATTTTGAGTGTTATCTACATGGAGGGATAATTAGTTATCTATGAATATAATACGATATAATGCATATTTATACAAGTAATAAAGATTGCTAATTGGTTAGACCATTAGGAATATAATTTCAAGTAGGTACATAGTTTTTATTTTACATTAATATTTCGAGAATCAATTATAATGTAATTTTAAAAAATTGTTATCAGGGTCGACTTAAACATATTTTATGTTATAGATAGATACTTTTCTATTTTTTGTACTCAAATTGCTTAAATTATATTTTTTAACTATTTGTATTACTGTATCTAAGTACACGTATCACCATTTCTATTTCCTTGCAAACAAACTCTAATATTTATCGATTTTACTTAAAGAAAAATAATAAATAGTAGATACCTGAAAAATTAATTGTTCAATTTTGAAGAAATTAAGGGTGTATGTATGCCCGACAAAGACCGAGATACGAGTCATGTCTGTGATAACTACGCACGGCTCTGAATTAAATCAAAACCTTTAAAAATAATTGTACGCTCCGACATACGTAATTTTTTCAAAACCTATTTCAAAAACATTTTTTGTGGATCACTTCACATATTTTGAAACTATTATTGTTCTATTTTTAGAGAATATTATTTGTTTATCCATTTGGGGTAAACAACATATCAGAGTGAATTAATCTACCAACATTAAAATTAGTATATACATATTCTTATCAGAGTGAAAACAATTTTACCGCGAGCAGTAATTTTTGTCTCAAGTGGGACTTCCTGTATATGGTAAGTCTACGAGCAGATAAACAATTCCACTAGTCGTCCAGTCAACAATTGACTGCTCCGTCAATATACCGGCTTACGATACTTGTTTCGAGTTTTTCGCGTTTTCTGAAAAATGGGCCAACCAGAAAAAAATGTTCCGTGTTTTTTGGTGCTAGAAGACGGTACTGTGCTACCGGGAGAATCTTTTGGAGCGAAAAAACCGGTAGAAGGGGAAGTGGGTAAGTTAAATGAATTCGTGTCCGTAAATAATATTAACACGTGCTCTGATATTGAGGTTAGGTGTAGTATAATTCACTTATTTTTTGTTTTGCGTAGTACTGAATAAACAGTAAATACCGTAGTCGACTCAATACGTAATATTGGTTTATAATTTTGATGTATATACAAACGATAAAACATTTTTTATTCGAGTACAGCAGAGGCGTAGGATGAATTGGGTTTGTGGTTTTAAATACGGGCATAACCTCTGCAAAATATAGTCTTTTAAGTTATAAAAAGTATTTAAATAAGTACTAATTGAATTAGTGTCACAAATTTTTTGAATAGATCCACAAATTATTTTGAAAATTACCTATCCCTCATCCCTCTGCGTCTTTTTTAACGGTTTTTAATCGAAGAAATTTCACTCCTAAATTTAATGAAAAATTTAAAATAAGGAATAGCCCGCAGTATCTCCTACTGGTTTCTATATAGTAGCACTCTCTTTCCAATTTAAACAGAAAATCATTACCAATGTATATTTTGATACGGTAGGTATGTAGGTACCCACTAAAGTTCAAGTCGGTGAAGTGCATCGCCAAATGTGAATTTTTATAAAAATAAGTTATCATTCATTTGTCCACGATAGTCCAACAAAAATTTTCGTTTGTCCATCCTTCAAAAAAAAAGTTTTAGCAAATTTAAAAATTTGAGCTAAATTTCACATCAGCACCGTCATAAAAACGTTTTATTAATTTCAAAGTGGCATTTGATTGTCCACGATTTTTCTACGTTTACGGCCAAAGTTTTCGTTTTTCCACCCCCCAAAACCGATATATTTAAACAAAAAAATAATGCAGGAGAACCTTAATACATTTCATACGAATTAAATACGGTAATCGTTTGTCCACACATTATTTTCGTTTGGCCAGGCCTTATTTTCGTTTGTCCATCCAAAATAAAAAACTCAAAATATAAACAATTATTAATATAATAATAATGTTTATTTAGTAAGCCAATAGTATAATACATAACAATATATTGTAGAAAATATCAAGAATACAATACAAAAAAAATTTATAATACAATAAAAAACTTCCAAAAATATGAGCTCACTGAAAAGGACATTAGTATTCATCATCAATCATACAAGATGTAAGAAGATGATTTTCAATATATCCAGATATAAATAGTATAAAAGAAAATTACAAAGATATTATATTAAGATTCCTCAAAAAAAAAAAGAAAACCCAAATTAATTAACAGTTAAATAGTATCTAATATCTAATAATAATACAATACCTAATCAATTTATGCGAAACATCAATGAAAATATTTTTTGATAAATTTTAAATGTTAAATGATACTACCATGTCACCATTTTATTTTACGCTTTAATGCACTTACAGACACGTGTTTAAGTTCAGGGGGGAGAAGGTTAATTATTTTGTAAAATACATAAGTAAAAGAGCTTTCAAACATTTTAGTCTTGTGTTGTGGGATTGATACAAAATTTCTTCTACCGATATTAAGATTATATACATCGCTTTTGAATCTTATCCTGTTATATAGATATGCAGGCGTTTTAAATAATAACATTTTTTGAAATAGGCAACAGGAATGCAAAAAACGAGCTTGGTTTACCGTCAACCACTTCAGTTCATTCCTTTTATGAGAAACTCGTTGATTTTTTTTTATTTATAAATTAATCTAATGCAGGTATTTTGAATACGTTGAAGACGCTGATTATTGAATTGAGTAATGCATGGTCCATAGACTGAATCCAGTGGCGGCTCGTGGGCACTAGCGGCAGTGGGGCACACACTGGAAAGGAATCCCGGGATTCGTTTTTACCTTAGGAAAACAAGTTCTCCGCTTAATGAAAATTAAATATATTTCAAAACAAATAAGATATTACAAAATTGAAGACTAACTGCTAGGTACTGCTGCAGTTGTATACTATTTCTTATAATTGAAGTCCATTCTTCTGGATTTTTGGCTAGCGAAGTGATCAATGACCAGATTATTAAAATTTGGAATGGACCGAATAAGTTTTTTTCGATGGATAACATGGCTAACGCGCACAATCTATCTTGGCACATAGTGTTCCTTAAAAATGTTTTAATACGTTTTTGTGTCGAAAAAGATATTTCACTCTCCACTGTGGTCATGGGAATTGTACACAGGATAGTTAGCAGCTCCACAGATTCCGAAAATGTAATTGTCAAATTGTTCTCAAAAAACATTTGTAATAACGGTACGGCCCCATTGTGTTGCACAAAGTCATCTCGGGTGTAAAGTATGGACAGTTGTTTTTGAATTTTAAGCTGTTTACGTTTGGAAATAAACTACACACAGTTTTAACGTCCTCATTTGGAAAACAACCTCGGTAGTCTTTAAATTTTTCACCATCAAATAAACTTGCAATTGTTAGGTGGGTAGTAAAACTAAAACGTTCGTTTACTTGCGCCACTATTGTATCACAAATTTCCTTACATATCCTTAAATTAGGAATGGAGTCCTCATTTTCAACAAACCGTCTCTTCTTGCTTGTACTTGGACCTGATTGGGTGTTGTCGTTTAAGTTTAGTTCTTGTGGGTCTTATTGTGATTGCCATTTAATCAAAAAATCATTACATATCCACTCTTGCGAAATTTGCGTAAATTTCTCAGAAGAATGCAATTTACTTAACAATTCTAACTTGTTAACGCATTTTAAAGCATACGACTCTGAAGAAAAGGTGTTTGGCAATTTAAAATCTACCAGCGAAAAATTTTTCTTTTATATTTTCAAATTAGAAAAAATATTTATATCTCTATTTGATAGTTTGTCAACTAAGCCTGGAATTTCCAACGCATACCTTTTTGAGATGAGCAAAATAGAATTTGGTCATCCTTATCAACAATTTGCGAAAATGTACACCATTAAATTATTTATAAGACTTAGAATTTTTTGTACTCTTAAATATGCAAACAGAGATTTGAAATCCTCGAAAAAGTCAGACAAAACCAAAAGAAAAATTTAAATTTTGTCCCATTTATAAATACTATTGATTTTTTTTTCATCATATTTTTGACTGCTTTATAAAAAAAAGTTATTTTTATTTGTAATTTTATTTCTTAACTATTCCAATGGTCCAACTAACGTTTTTTTCGTAATCACAATAAATAAATTATTATCATGGTCCAACAAACGCGCCCCTTAAGCCGAAACCGGCATCGCCTTTGTGAGGGAGCCGGTAAAGATGCCCAGCGTACGTTCGTATCTGGTCTAGGTAATCTATGCCATGGGTACAGCACGTCACGATCAGGACAGCGCCCCGCTTGTGACGTATAATCCAACGCATGTGTTCATCTCTTGCTAAGCGATATTTTCGTTGTCCTTGTTTTTCGCATCATAATGAGAGAGAAAACAACAGAGGCACACATTTACTTCCTGTCTTCCACTTAATTTCGGAATTTTTGGAACGTCGCTCAACGCCCGGTCGTCCAGTGTCGGGCCAACGCGGTTTGCGCTGAATATTAGATAAAATAATAATAGGCATTGAGGAAAATATAAAATATGTAAGTTATTTTTTTTTGTTTATTATACTAGGGCATGTGCCCAAGTGCCCTTGCGGGCAAACCGCCACTGACTGAATCACAAAAGTTCAAGTGAGAAAATACAAGCGTTTCACATAATACAATTTTAGAACGACGATCTAGTGTATCTTTATTGGCGTAAATTATTTTTATATTCGTTGCACATTTTTTTATTACATTTCTAATGTTTTTCAAATCGAAAATCGGTATTTGTATTAGGTAATATTTCATTGTTGACTTCAATTCTAAGCTGATCATTATAATTCATTCTATATTTTTTTCTGCCAAACAACAACATGAGATTTAGAGGGATTTATATCTAAACAATAGTCATTAGACAATTTAAAAAGTAGATTCAAATCAGAATTTACTTTGGTGATGCTTTCTTTAAATTTACACGCAGGGAATGAAAGGTAAATCTGAGTATCATCTGCATATTGGTGAAAATTACAATACTTTAGTGATTCTAGGAATAAAGATGTATAGATACAAAATAATAAAGGGCCCAGAATAGATCCTTGGGAACCCCATTTTATGTTTAGTGAAGAAGATAATTTATCCTTATATTTGACATACTGTATTCTATTATTAAGATAGTTAGCAATAAGACGTTTCGAATCTTCATTAAATCCCAGATGGTGTAATAGCCCTATTAGCATCGCAAGATTTATTCTGTCAAACGCCTCTTACCATAGTCTAGCTCTAATGATATCGTCAATGACTGAGAGTAGGGCAGTGTTGCAACTGTGATTAGGGCGAAAACCAGACTGATTAATAGGAATAATATTATAATGATTTAGAAAGGTTTTATTTGATGATAAAGAACTTTTTCCATAACTTTAGAAGCTGTGCAGAGAATACTAATATAGGCCGTATATCTTTAAATTCACTTGGATCCTCCCCATTTAGTTCCAACTAGGTCCCAGTAATTAAGTTATTCGGGGCGAATAACTAGAGAGGAGGGAGCAATATTACGCAGCACCCTGCAGTAGCCTGCGGCTGTTATAGGAAACGTACGAATAGAAAAAGAAGTGAAAGTGCAAGTAAAAGAAGATAGAATAGTCCAGAAATGCAGAAATGTATGGAAATGTCATTACCCGTCAAGAATATTCTAGATGACAGTTCGAGAAGGGTCTAGCAAGCTATATAAGAATGATCCTGACGTCAGTTTTCAGTTTTATGATAGACGTTACACGTTAATGTTATCAGTTGCGTTGTAATTGTTAAAGTTTAGTTGAAATAAATTGTGATACCAAAAACCTGCGTAACAGTATGTTCCACAGGGTTGGACAGAGAACGGAACACTGTGGAACACCCTGGGTCATTTTCTTGCTGTATCCTTTAACAGATATTTTTCTGTTCTGAAAATAACTTCTGATTAGATTTGTTAGCCATTTTGGCGTGCCGTTGTCTTCGAGTTTTCTATTAATTAGGTGCC